TGACACCAATGCAGAATTGGAAAGAAATATTGAAAAAAAAAATTCAATCCCTTCCAAAATTTTGTACCAGAGGAATACAGTTAAATAAACCTAAGCATCTTATTTTGAAATAGGTCTATTTAAACCAAATTAATGAAAAACAAGGATTACATCACACCCAGTAGAAAACATTAATTTTGTCAGACATCTTTCTACTATTTTGAAATTTTGTGATCTGTAGTCCTTACCTATTTAGTATCCATTTGCACTGGACTATTATTGACTATAGATGATAATGGCAATGAACTAAATTTACCCTTTGTCCCCTGTTGAATCAGGTTTGTGTGTGGGAATTTACATGTCCCACAAATCTTGTACGTACAGAAGAGGTAATAAATTTGAAAGGACAGCCTGAAAATGGTAGGAATGACCACAAACAAGTTCACACCATGCTTTCTTGGGTTTTATTCTAAACTTTCAAAACTTGCCTCAAAAATTAGTCATCTTCAAAAAGTGGATAGCCCCCCGCCCCTATCCAAATATCTACAGGATAGGCATGAATCACTCCCAGTCAGAGAAATGGTTTCTTTATGTGAATTTTCATTCAGTCCTTATCTAGCTTTTATTAGGAGTTTGAAACAGAAAGAGAATGATACAATTACTCACTCTATAAAAAAAACAAGATAGACAATAAACCCATGACATTTTTATGCATAAAACTCTTTAACCTAATTTTTAAAGATATATCAGTCCTTTTAAATATTTCTCCGTTTCTGGAACCCAAACTATCAAACTCAAGGTAAAGTCAGAAACCAGCCTCACAGGAATGTGATGCAAGAAATTACTCAGCAATTGTTTTGAACATTAAATGTGCTTTGACACATGTGATACACATAGAATGCAAGAGATTTTATCAACATTAATTTGACAAAATCAAAAATCACTATAACGCAAAACACAAAGAATTGCAACTGGATTTTCTGCTAATTCAAACTACAGTGCCGGTACTTCTTAAGCTATTCAACCTTACATTTTTTCCAAGATTTCCCATGAAATGTGGTAGCAGACAGATTCATTTTATCTCTACAGTGATACTGGACCTCATGAAATAAACATGTCAATGGCTTAGGATACTACTATATCCACTTTGTTGTCAAAGGAAAAAATCATACCTATAGCTAAACCAGTACCTACAATCTCCTCTATACTTACCACTATTGTTCTTGTTGTATGGCTGGAGGATTCTGGAAAACAAAAGAAGCACAATGTATCAGAAAACTCTATCCATAAAAGCCCCATTTTCTGATGCCCACCCTGAAGGCTAAGATGCTACTGTTCAGCTACAACAACATATCAGAGATGCAGAGATTGGAAAGATCTCTCATGAAACGAGCATGAGAATCATCACTGGTCCTGAAAATATACGGCACACTATAGCATGCTGTTAACTGCACTCATACTCTTTGCTTAATTATCCTCTTCTGCAAGAAAATATAAAAATGGAACTAATTCATAATTCATGTTTTAAGAAGTGGGTTTTTTCATTTTGCTTTTAACATATGGCATCTTTTAACATGGAGGATTAGCTCGGCAGAAAAGAATACAAATAGCGTCAGTGTAATTCCATTACTATTCGCATTTGAAAAAGCTTTATAAAACTAGACCTTCATTTTTCTGAGAATTTTGAGATGGATTTTCAGTTTGAAATTGACAAAGTATATTGGTAAGTGTAACATCCAGAAATCTTCATTATTCTGTCTTATATGATATATCAAGAGTCAGTCAACTGAACTCATGGTTATATTTATATAAAAATTACTGAAGTATCATGACTAGGACAATAACTAACACAGATTTCACCCCGCTGTTTAAATTAAAATATGTTTACCATTTTACTTTTCCTCAAGGACAGATATCTCATACTCTTTGGCTTTAAAATGCTACAGTTGTCACATTACAGCCATGTTCTTTTTCAAAGCAGTATAACTTCAGTAACTAAACATCCTCGTAACCAGTTAAAAAGACGTCAAGGAAATTCATTGCTTATCTATAAGATGCAAGATGATGCTGGTAGCAATCTCATAGACTTGGTCAAAAATTTGGGTAAAACATCTTATCAACTGTAGTACACAGATTTCTTAAAGAAGAGACACGTAGCAAAAGCACATGCAGTTCTGGGTAAAAGGCACACAATTCTGCATGAATTGAACCAGCAGAGTATCAATTCTGCAAGGGAGATAAATGTACAGCAATTAAAATGGGTCAGTTATTCTTGCCCTGGTTCCAAATTGCGGTTCTTATGGCTTCTCAACTGGCATCACAGAAAAAAATCTCCAGGGCTTTTGTTATTGTTAAAATTAGTATTAAAGAGATTAAAAGGACATGAGCAAGAACAGCTGCACATCTCTGAAAAACTGGTAATTACAATCTCAAACTGGTGTTTCTCTTTCATTTTGAGGAGCCATCTTAACCAGTCTGAAGGTATAGGTCAATCACTGATAGAAACAAAAGCAAGCCATTTTACACATCTCAAACTATTTAGAAACTTCAGTTCAATCTTTAGTAGTAATTCCTGTGTCTAGTTTACATTTTCACAAGTCTTCATCCTTAATCAAATCTAATTTTAAAAAAACCCAATACAGTAGCAATAATTTCCCATTGATAAAGGTTCTATAATGTGAAAAACTACCTAACACCACCAATATTTTAGTTGTGAGCTCCACTCCCAGCCCCCTTTTCCTCTCTTCTTTTTTTTTTTTCTCATAAAAATTGCCATAAATAAAAATACATTTAGATCACTAGTCCCCCAGGCAAATTTTAAACTGGTAGTATAAAAATTAACTACTGTGACAGTCTAGTATTTCCTGATACCTGATTATACTTAACACGGTTATAAAGTAAAAGAAGGTCATAGCAGAATGAAGAAGTATATAATCTGTTCCATTTTTATGATCACATTAAGATATTTTTGTTATTACAAGTTTTGGGGTTTTTTTTTGACATCACACAATTCAGGACTTGAATGTTCCTGAGAAAACCCAGAGACTGCATTCATGGAGGTATAACTGTCTGAATAACTCTTGAGACAAGGTCTCATTCTGTTTGTAAATCCAGCTCCTGAGGGAAAAAAAATACAAACTATCTCCAAGAACACAACTGCATTTCCTGAGGAATCTTCAACTTCAGCAGAATTAACAGGTTAAACAAAAAGGATTGGGCTGCTTCTCTCTTGAAATATAGATAAGATAAATTACACTGTATTTCCAGTCACCTCCAAAAAGACCAAAACGAAAAAACAAAACTCCAAAGTTTTTATACTCAGTTACTACAGTAATAAAATCTTCACTCCTACTCAGAGGTGCTATACTTTTGGCATAGATTTATATGCCAAATCTATAAAACTATGCCTGGCCATGATTATCCCAAAATAATCAGTCACCATCTCAGTTCCACAGACAACTGAGTGAAAGAGAGAATATCTCCCTAAAAGAAGCTGAGGAACAGCCAAATGTATCTGGAGGCTGTTTAACAGCACATTTTTGAAGAATACTTTACAGCCATTCTTAATGCAATGCCAACAGCTCTTTCCTCCAGGATATTACCATAATGATAAGGTATTAATAAAAACTAAGCAAAGCAGCGAAGACAGATCTCTTCTATTTGTAGAGTAGTATCTCTGTGTTGTATCATACAAGAAAAAATGCTTTTTGACTATCTTTTTCTTAGCTTTAATTGCTGTAGATACTGAAATATCATTTAAGTTACCAAACATCTTTTAGAAAGACCTGAGTATATCCATAAATAAAAAGCTAGG